GGGTGCAAGTGGGTTTACAATATCAAAACTCACTCTGATGGGTCCATTGATCGATACAAAGCTCGCTTAGTAGCTAAAGGGTTTACCGAGGAGTATGGGATTGACTATGAGGAGACCTTTACCCCGGTTGCCCGCCTCACTTCAGTTCACAGCTTAATTGCAGTTGCCGCCGTCCGTCATTGAGAATATTTCAGATGGATGTGAAAAATGCTTTTCTTAATGGTGAACTTACTGAAGAAGTTTATATGCGCCCTCCTCCTGGTTTTCATCATCTTCCGCATCAAGTCTGCAAACTTCGTCAGGCTCTTTATGGTCTCAAGCAAGCTCCTCGAGTTTGGTTTGCCAAGTTCTACACCATTGTTGGAGATTTTGGGTTCACTTCTAGCTCACATGATTCTGCTCTTTTCATTCGCAAAACAGACTAGGTTACTATCCTTCTTCTCCTCTATGTATGATATGATCATCACTGGTGATGACACATTTGGAATTTTGGATCTCAAGACTTATCTCAGCCAACATGTCGAAATGAAAGATCTTCGAAAGCTTAGTTACTTTTTGGGACTTGAGATCACTTCTAACTCTGAGGAATATTATCTTTCGCAAGCAAAGTATGCTTCTAATCTTCTTACTCGAGCGGGACTCACAGATAGTAAGACATGTACCACTCCTCTAGAGCTCAACTCTAAACTCACTCCCATAGATGGTACACCTTTGGATGACCCCACCTTGTTTCGCCAGTTGGTTGGTAGTCTTGTTTTTCTTACAGTTACTCGCCCTGACATCTCTTATGCTGTCCATATTGTCAGTTAACTGCTCTCTGCTCCTTGCACATCCTATTATGCTGCAGTGCTTCGCATTCTCAGGTACATCAAAGGGACCCTATTTCATGGTCTCCACTTCTCATCTCACTCTTCACTCGAACTTCGTGCCTACTCAGATGCAGATTGGGCAGATAACCCCACTAATCGTAGATCTACCACTGGGTATTGTTTCTTCCTTGGTGATTCTCTTATTTCTTGACACAGTAAGAAACAAACAGTAGTCGCTCGATCCAGTACAGAAGCTAAGTATCAAGCCCTTGCTGATAAAACTCAGGAACTTCTTTGGCTTCACTGGTTACTTGAAGACATGGGCGTCACCCATTCTACTGCCACTATCATAAACTACGATAATCAAAGTGCTATCCAAATTGCTCACAATGATGTATTCTATGAACGCACAAAACACATTGAAATTGATTGTTACTTTATACGTCATCATCTCACCCATGGGACTATTGGACTGCTATCAGTTTCTTCAGTCGATCAAACTGCTGATATCTTCACTAAAACGCACCCTCCTGGACGCCTTGAGGATTTAGTTTCCAAACTCAAGTTGGTCTCCATTTTACCACCTTGAGTTTGACGGGGGCTGTTAATGTATATACAATGTAAATGTTAGTTAGTCCCATATTGGTTAGAAAGGAAAACATTCCTCTCAAATTAGGCTATAAATATGATACCTCTCTTGTAAGCAAATCACACTATTCAATACAATTCTCTTCTCTTTGTATTGTCTTATTTTCTCGCTGAAATTCAACTTAAAGTATATGGCTTTTGTGCGTTCCTATTATGAAAGATTAAGAACTTCAATATTGTGCGTTCCTCTTGAACCTAGACGCTGATACCTATTTTTAACGAGAAAATTTATGAGGCTATGTCGACACGATTTTCACTTTCTTAAATATGATTATTTCTAAAAGAAAAAACAGTGTTCTAAAAAGCATGTGCTTCGACATTTGATAGTAAGCGTGAAATTAAGTAGCCAACTGTTAAGTTAACTGCCTAATCACGCCTAGGCCTGCTTTATTAATTATTTTATTTTTTCTATTTTAAAAAAGCCTTTATTTGATTTAGTTTCAAGTTTTTCCTTTGAAAATTGTATAATTGATTAATTATAAAAATTATTAAATAAATATAATATTTTATAATTTTAGATGTTTGGTATGTATTATTTTAATTATTAAACGATTTTTAGAATGACTAAAAATTTATAATGATAATAAAACTTCAAAAAAAAAAAAACTCTTTTTTACTCCTAAACCTCATCTAAACTGATCTAGACTCGTAAAATTTTAAGATTGGCCTTCACGTCTAACCATATTTTACGTTTTTTAGAACACTTGGGGAAAATGTGTGAAATTTCTTGAATTTGCCTTGTCAATATTTATCCATTGAAATCATATATATAGAAGTGTCTTTTCAATTGAAAAGTGTTATTTCATGGAAATGTATTGATTCAAAATGTCTATAAATACCGTGATGATAAATTGGTTGACACCTCATGAAGCCTTAATGAACTTGTCAAGGATAAGGCCTTGAATCTCATAAAGAGAATGACAAAATCACAATGTTAGAGAGACGAGTTCTATCGCGCCATGCAGGATTTATTATTATCAGTGACAGTGGCTACCCACAATCAAATGGGTTTTTGTAATTGCATGCAATTGCCAACTCCTGTAATTTTGTTTAACCATGGGAAAATGTGTGTCGAGGAGGTGCGTGTATTGCACACAAAAACCCAATAGTTATATTCGTGAACCATTTTTCGACTCGATCAATATATGGTGCTACGTGAAAATTGAATTTGGGTCTATGTGATGATTGTGATCAAATTTCAATGGCCCAATTTAAGTTTGGTGAATCATAATAGAAAATGAGGCAGCAATATCTTTGAAACGAACAAAAAAATGACTTTTCATTTCTATTTTGTGAATTGGCAGTCTTAAATGTGATAGAGAATGAGCTCTCAAGATACATTGACATTCTTGGTCATTTGTATACTGACTAGAGATGGAATAAAGTATTTATCCACTAGATAAACATAATAATGGTATGATCGAACTAAAACAAAAAACAAAAATAGTGCACGAATATTATGTTGCTAAACTTGATCTTACTTATCATGGGTGTAAGGGTTGTTTGCACTATATGCTCAACCAAACATCGGATTTAACTCAAGTTTTGTGGGGGTAGCAATACCAGCATATTACACTCCAATTGAGGAATTGTCAAGGTAGTTTTACCTAGAAATTACATCTTAATACCTTATATATCATACAAAATATTTCTATAAAGATGAAAGGTTGAAAGCCCTTATAAATGTAAAAATGCTATGCAAAGATGACAGACCCTAAAACAAAAGTAGTTAAATTGGGTAAGAAAATTAGTAATTGTATTATAATTTAAATTGGATTATTTAGTACCAAGGATTCAAAAACACTACTAAATATGTTTTACTATAACTATGACTAGAGCAATTGTGTTTTAAAATTTCTTTAAACAACTTTTGAGTTGGATGATCAAATTAAAACTTTAGATAAAGCTAGAAATAAGCACGTGGTTTCAAAATTTTTCTAGAAGGATTCCTTAATTGGTGATTGTGTGTCTATTATCTGAATTAATTGTAATAACTAGTTATATTTAATAAGACACAAAATCTATCGTCATGGTAAGTTTAGACATACACGTAATAGATTGAATATCATTTGACATTTGCTCTCAAATGGAACAATATTGGTTAATTTATGAACATATGATAATCTAGTGGATTCGTTTACAAATAAGTAATCTAGAGACAATAGATTGTGCATTAAGGAAAATTAGTTTAAAGCTTAAAATATTAATGGGTCAACTTAATGGAAACTTAATAAGGAGGATGGAGATCCCATGGACTCGTTGCAACAAGAAAACTACTTATGAATGACATTATGAGAAGCACTTATGATTTTTTTACTCCTCATTTCAATTATGCAAATAAGTGAAGGCCTAAAGCTAGCACGAATCGACACAATTCAATGTTTTATAGCTCCTTTCCAGAAAGATTGTCTTATTCTACCTACAAAAGATTACTGGAGATAAGCTATATTTTTAAAGATGACTACATCTTATAAACAGTACAAATAAAGAATTGTACGAACTTGGCCAGTTCAATAAAAAAATTGCTTAGACGAATTCTCTGGCACAATTGCAAAACCCAAGAAGGTTTAGGGCCAAAAATAATACACTTATGAGAGACTATTTATTTGTTCTATTATCCAGGCTTACAGTAATGGTCGACAGGTTAAAATGTTGCATTCGCTCATTAGACAAGTGAATCCGATAAATTCTTACTAAGGAAAGTTCAAATGTAAACTACCTATATCATGAAGCCTTATCTTTCATATAGTACTTTTCTTCATCTTCCTTGTTCTTGATCAATTTCTTTCCTTCATGTGGATGATCATAATTTTTTTGAGTCTGTTAACGATTAAAATGTGTTAGTTGAAAAAGTTTCTAATAGGTGTGATAAATAAACCTGACTTTTCAAATAGAAATGGTAAATATTGAAGAATCATGATTTTTGAATTATGTGTGACTATTCAAAGAAGTGTATAAATGAATAATCATGACCATTATTTAGAGTGCTGTACATCTAGGCCGTCGAATCATATTCCAATTTGAAATGGTGCGATCTAATGGTCCAAATGAGATTGTATCAAAAGATGCTATCATTTCGAAAACTCACAGTGAAATCTATAAATTAGATCCTTCTAATTCCATTTTCACTACAATTAATTAATATATTCATATTCAATAGCATCCGATTTAGAAGAGTATAGTCAAGTTTTGGTTTACCAGATAAAATTAATAGTATGTTATCTTAAGTTTGGAAGAAACATTGTATCTTGAAGACAAACGTTCATTTGATCATATCAATATCAGTGAGGGGGCAACATATATCTTAAAAACATTTTCAATCACATATCTCCTTTCATTTTATCTCCTTCTAATAACTACATTTTCTATGTTTCAGTATGTCCCAATTTTGTGCGTATTTTAATGCGTGTATATTGGTTTCATTAACTTGAAACTCTATCCGGTGTTTTTCACCACTAAATCACGATTAAATTATATTTACACGCACCATTTCTGGCAAATGAATATAATTATACACTAATTTTCCATCAAGATACATAACAAAAGAGTAGATTGTGACACTATTTCTCCTGTCACTAAATGAAACAGAAGCTTTCATAAATTAGCATCCGTACATGGATGCAATTCTACTTGAAGATGACTTTGTAATTCGTGTTTCGTGTCACGTCATACCGGAACACTGACAAGTATCACCAGCCAATGCGATGAAGGACTCTTCGTTAGTACAAATGCAAAGAGAGAAAGTCCACAGCCGGGATCTCTCGACTCTCTACTTTTATTAGGCTGTAAAATATTTTTATATGACTTGTGCTCTATATCGAGCAGCTTATTCATCATACTGTAGTATATACATAATACAAATATTTAGCTTAAACAGTTAGTTAAAAACTGTTGTAGCTAGTATGGCCACTCCCCCTGCCAGTTACCAGGAGGATCGTAGCTGCAAATAACATAATACCATCCGTTATTGCAACTAACCCTAGCACATCCAATTCTGACAGAATCCCTCCAGACAACCTGCGTGTAATGTCCACACTGCTGTCCAGTTGCACATGTGTTGGAACCATAATTATAGTACTGCTTCTCCGCAACCCACAAGTTAACCGCGGCCGTGCCTGTGAAGGAGGAGGCACTCCCCTTAGCCAGGTTTTCGCCGTAAGGACCATAGGAGTGGACAAGATTGCAGTCGCCCTTTCTTTGATTCGCGTAGTTCTGTGCGTAGGTTTCAAGTGTTGTGTTCCATGTTACGACCCCTACGCCCACTTGGCCACGCGGCGTGTTGTGGGCATTCACGTAGTCTTGGTTGGAGTTTTGGGCGTGAGACGGGACAAGAAGGGATAACATTATGAAACAGAGAAGGAAGAAGAAGATTTTGAGTAATGCCATTGTCATTTTCTGTGATGGGAAGAGGAGTTTAGACTGTGGATGAGAAAGAAAGAGTTCAACGTTCAATATTTATAAGCACCACAGGGTGAAAAGGGGGTGTTTCATTAGGGTTGAAGATTGTACCATTTAAACAAAGGCATCCTATATTATATATATTAAGTTTAAACTTATCTATAAGTTGTTTATTTGTCGAAAAAAAATATTTGAGTTTAAGTTTTGCCTCTACACATCTATGAAAATTTCGCATGTGCTAAGTTTACGATTGAAAAATGGATTCCATCTTGCATGCGAAAGGCTTTGTTAAAAACGTTATCAGCCTATATAGATTTCATCAACTTTTCCACATCAACCAAATCCATTATCAAAGTGCACATAAACAAGTATGGTATTTATGACTTCTCAACCAATGAACAAAGGATGCGAAGTTCAACAAGATGAGTAAATATATAACAGAGGCTAATTATATTCACACTACAATTTTTATTTATTGCACCACATTTTAATTGCACTTACGATTCTTAATATTTGCTCATTATAACACTTATATTCATAAAAATTTTTCACGTCATTATTATCATCAAACTTTCAATTAGTTTAATACATTTTGCATTTGATAACAGTTTTTTGTCCAAAAGTTCATTGAAATGATTTAAAACAACTTATTTTTTCTATCATATTTTTAAAAAATTAATTAATTAAAATTGAAAAAAAAATACTTTTCTCTCATTTCAAAGCATGAAAATAAAATATTCTGATATAAATCATCATGAAAGACAGGACGTACTAATTAGTGAAAGATTGAAGATAAGAATTTAACGAAAAAAAAGTTATGAAAATAATTGATACAATAAGCAATGTTTGAGGAGCATAACTGCAACTAAAATGTGGTACATCAAATAAAAATTGTGGTGGTAATATAACTGCCCTATAATAGATTCAGTTATAAATTAACAAATCAAAATTTGCTACATGGCATTAATCAAATGAACCATTTACATCCAAGGTTTTTGTGAAAATTTATAGATATGGGCCACTTGAGAATGACAAGGATAATCAAACTTTGAATAGCTTCCTCTCAAATAATCATTTTTCCACTTCCAACTTTTTAAGCACCATATTAGTGAGTTAAGGAGGAAAAGTCCTGATTAAGTGAAAGGAATTTATTGATCATCATTAAGAGATCAACGGAGATAATTTTGATAAATATACTTCAGCTTCAAGCAACTTGCAGATAGCTTGTGGAGATTAAAAAGGCAATAGATTTTTTAAAGTTATAAGCAACCCTAAAGTCATAAGAACTTCCCCTTTGGACATAATTAATTTTGAATCTGCATTTGTTTTCTATACACTTTCCTATAAAAGAACAGAGTGAGTAGTGCTAAAGTTTAGGGTTTCTATAAATTAATTAAAAGCAAATTTATATGGCTTGTACGATGTGTCCTTTGAAAAGCAAGGTCCCTCTTTTCGATTTACATTCAAGTCCATTGCATTATTAAGCTCTTGTCTGAACCACATTATTTTTATAAGAATGCATTTTTAAATAATATATTGATTAAAAATATTTGGTTAAAAAATAAGGAAAAAGTTTTAAATTTATGTGTAATATTATTTTATTGAAAAATATGTAGTTGAAAGGGTATTTAGCACAGAACTTTCTTATTTTCAATATTATTGTGCAAAACGTCCCTACATTTTATTTTTTAGCACTTTTACCCTTATATTTACCTTTTATTGCGAAAATCATCATTTCCATCAAATTTCTCGTGTAAAATGACAAATATACTCCCTATTTAAATAAATTCATAAAAAAGAAAATAAAAGTTAAAGACTAAATTACAATCATACTCTCAAACTTTTTTAAAAAGTGTAAATAAGTCCAAATAAATTATTAAAAGGGTAATTAGCATAAAACGTCCCTGTCTTTCATTATTATTGTGCAAAACGTCCATACCTTTTATTTTTTGATATTTTCACCCCTATTTTCATATTTCATTGCAAAAATAATTATTTTCATCCATTTTCTCAATTAAAAATTGTAAAATAACATATATACCCTCCTCTTTAAATAAAAAAAATAAAGGATAAATTGAAACTATACTATCAAAATTTTAAAAAAAAAATACAAGTAAATTCCAAATAAATAATTCAAAAAACAAAAATCACTTTCTTTTTTAATTATTTATTTGAAATTTATTTGTACTTTTTTAAAAATTTTGAAAATGTAATTGCAATTTGTTCTTTATTTTTATTTTTATTTTTTTATGTATTTAAAGAGGGGTGTATATTTGTTATTTTACAGCTTTTAATTAAGAAAATTGATGAAAATAACAATTTTCGCAATGAAATATGAAATAAGAGTGAAAATGTTAAAAAATAAAAGGTATGAAAGCTTTACACAATAATAATAAATGGTAGGGACGTTTTGTGCTAGTTACCCTTTTAATAATTTATTAGGATTCATTTGCACTTTTTAAAAAAGTTTGGGAGTGTGAATGCAATTTATTATTTAACTTTTCTTTTCTTTTTTTATTGTTTTATTTAAATATGGGGTATATTTTTTATTTTACACGAAAAATTTGATGAAAATGATGATTTTCGCAATAAAATGTGAAGATAAGGGTAAAAGTGTCAAAAAATGAAAGGCATGTATGTTTTAGATAATAACATTGAAAGGTGGGGACGTTTTGTACTAATTACCCGTAATTAAAATGATGTCAAATTATTGTTTAAAAATGTATTTTTTTTGAAAGAACGTGGGACAAACATGGCCTAACTTTCCTTATAAAAGTGTCAACTATTAATTTTCCAAAAAAAAAAAAAAAAATCCATCTTGTCTCTTTAGCTAAATAAGACGATCATTAATTTCAAATTATATGATATATATATTCAAGTTGTGTCTACTTATTTTTATTAAAAAAAAAAATTATGTGAATCCAATTTTTTTTTTTATCAATAAATGTTAATATCATTAATAAAAAATATTCATATACAAGTACACCGGACATTTCCGGCAAACAAAAGCCAATGTCACATACAATTCTCCGGGCATCTCCAGGAAATACAAAATAAGTGAAGTGCAAAAGAAGTCAATGACCCGACGCTAAGGATTCGAAATGGATCAAGACATCCGGATACAAAGAGAACATAACTTTGTATACGTGCATCTTGATCTGTCTCATGATGGAATCCAAGTAAGGTGAAAGGTCTTCAAAAATCCTATTCCATGTAAGCCAAATGTAGTATACAGTGCTCGGAAGAGCAATCCTCTTCACTTTACTTTGCTATGACGTCCCACGGGCCTCCTTTTTCAACTACTTAAGAGCATTAGCAAGAGTTAACATAGATCTTTTGATGCCGAGCTATCGCCTAATATTCCCCCATAAGGTAGATGTGAAGGAGCATTTAAAGAAAAGATGGTCGCAAGTTTTCGCGAAATGCCCACAAAACACACAATTACGATCAATATCCAAAAATTGCAATTTTTCTTTAGTTAGGAGTTTAGATTGAACCCCTAACCAAAGCAAAAAGGAATGCTTCGGAGTAATGCACGATTTTCAAACTTCGGTACCCCAAATCTTGAATGTACCCTTAGGCCTAAAGAAATTATAGGCAATTTTTGCGCTGAATATATCTCCTGTTGAGCAACCCATAAACTGTCTCCTGCAGTGAACTGTCTGCTGTCTACTAAACTGTCTGAGTTCTGCCCAATTTAGCCCATGTTCTGTGGGTGCCCAACAAGGTAATTTGGGGCTAAACCAGTAGACCGAGGTAGTATAATTCAGTAATGCCATTGTGATTTTCTGTGATGGGAAGAGGAGTTTAGACTGTGGATGAGAAAGAAAGAGTTCAACGTTCAATATTTATAAGCACCACAGGGTGAAAAGGGGGTGTTTCATTAGGGTTGAAGATTGTACCATTTAAACAAAGGCATCCTAAATTATATATATTAAGTTTAAACTTATCTATAAGTCGTTTATTTGTCGAAAAAAATATTTGAGTTTAAGTTTTGCCTCTACAAATCTATGAAAATTTCGCATGTGCTAAGTTTACGATTGAAAAATGGATTCCATCTTGCATGCGAAAGGCTTTGTTAAAAACGTTATCTTAAAAAATTACATGACATGCATGTGCTAGAAAGGGGTCCACAGACTAGGCATCGATAGATTGTATTATAAATTAAAATAATAGAATAAAACCGAGTCCACATCCCCACAAGGTGCGCTGTATCAAAGCCAGCTAACCATCTATAAGACAAATCATATAGGAATTCACAATAACCTTAGCGAGCCTATATAGTTTTCATCAACTTTTCCACATCAACCAAATCCATTATCAAAGTGCACATAAACAAGTATGGTATTTACGACTTCTCAACCAATGAACGAAGGATGCGAAGTTCAACAAGATAAGTAAACATATAACAAAAGTAATTATATTCAAGCTACAATTTTTATTTATTGCACCACATTTTAATTGCACTTACGATTCTTAATATTTGCTCTTTATAACACTTATATTCATAACGATTTTTTACATCATTATTATCATCAAACTTTCTATTGGTTAATACGTTTTGCATTTGATAACAGTTTTATGTCCAAAAGTTCATTGAAATAATTTAAAACAACTAATTTTTTCTATCATATTTTTAAAAAAATTAATTAATTAAAATTGAAAAAAAAAATACTTTTCTCTCATTTCAAAGCATGAAAACAAAATATTCTGATATATAGGACGTACTAATTAATGAAAGATTGAAGATAATAATTTAACTAAAAAAAAAAAAGTTAAGAAAATAATTGATACAATAAGCAATGTTTGAGGAGCATAACTGCAACTAAAATGTAATGTATCAAATAAAAATTGTGGTGGTAATATAACCGCCCTATAACAGATACAGTTATAAATTAACTAATCAAAGTTTGCTACCATATTAGTGAGTTAAGGAGGAAAAGTTCTGATTAAGTGAGTGGAATTTATTGATCATCATTAAGAGATCAACGGAGATAATTTAGATAAATATATTTCAGCTTCAAGCAACTTGCAAATAGCTTGTGGAGATTAAAAAGGCAATAGATTTTTTACAGTTATAAGCAACCCTAAAGTCATAAGAACTTCCCCTTTGGACATAATTAATTTTGAATCTGCATTTGTTTTTGTATACACTGTCCTATAAAAGAACAGAGTGAGTAGTGCTAAAGTTTAGGGTTTCTATAAATTAATTAAAAGCTAATTTATCCTGCTTGTACGATGTGTCCTTTGAAATCTAGCAAGGGCCCTCTTTTCCCTTTACATTCAACATCCATTGCATTATTAAGCTCTTTTTTGAGCCACATTATTTTTATAAGAATGTATTTTTGAATAGTGTATTGATTGAAATGTATGGTTAAAAAATAAAGGAAAATTTTAAATTTACATGTAATAATATTTTACTAAAAATGTGTGGTTGAAAGGGTAATTAGTACAAAACTTCCTTTTCTTTCAATATTATTGTGCAAAACGTCCATACCTTTCATTTTTTAGCACTTTTACCCTTACATAAATACCTTTTATTGCGAAAATCATCATTTTCGTCAAATTTCTCGTGTAAAATGACAAATGTACTCCCTATTTAAATAAATTCATAAAAAAGAAAAGAAAAGAAAAGTTAAGAATAAATTACAATCATACTTCCAAAATTTTTTAAAAAGTGCAAATGAGTCCAAATTAATTATTAAAATAGTAATTAGCACAAAACGTCCCTACCTTTCATTATTATTATGCAAAACGTCCCTACCTTTTATTTTTTGACATTTTTACCCTTATTTTCATTGCAAAAATAATTATTTTCAACCATTTTCTCAATTAAAAATTGTGAAATGACAAATATACCCTCCTCTTTAAATTAAAAAAAATAAAGAAAAGAAAAATAAAGAATAAATTGAAACTATACTATCAAAATTTTCAAAAAAAAAAAATACAAGTAAATTCCAAATAAATAATTAAAAAAACAAAAATCACTTTCTCTTTTAATTATTTATTCGAAATTTATTTGTATTTTTTTGAAAATTTTGAAAATATAATTGCAATTTGTTCTTTTTTTATTTTTATGTATTTAAAGAGTGGTGCATATTTGTCATTCTACAGCTTTTAATTAAGAAAATTGATGAAAATAACGATTTTCGCAATGAAATATGAAATAAGGGTGACAATGTCAAAAAATAAAAGGTATAGACGTTTTGCACAATAATAATAAAAGGTAGAGACGTTTTGTGCTAATTACCCTTTTAATAATTTATTAGGATTCATTTGCACTTTTTAAAAAAGTTTGGGAGTATAATTGCAATTTATTATTTAACTTTTCTTTTCTGTTTTATTGTTTTATTTAAATATGGGGTATATTTATCATTTTACACGAGAAATTTGATGAAAATGATGATTTTCGCAATAAAATGTGAAGATAAGGATAAAAGTGCCAAAAAAATGAAAGGCAAATACGTTTTGCACAATAACATTGAAAGGTGGGGACGTTTTGTACTAATTATCCGTGGTTAAAATGATGTTAAATCATTGTTTAAATTATATTTTTTTTGAAAGAATGTAGGTCAAACATGACCTAACTTTCCTTATAAAAGTGTCAACTTAAAAAAAAAAAAAAAAAAAAAAAAAAAAAAAAAAAAAAAAAAAAAAAAAAAAAAAAAAAAAAAAAAAAAAAAAAAAAAAAAAAAAAAAAAAAAAAAAAAAAAAAAAAATT